CTCTCTCTCTCTCTCTCTCTCTCTCTCTCTCTCTCTCTCTCTCTCTCCTGGAGATGATTGGCGAGAGGGATCAGGCCAGAGGTCTATGAGGCAGGGAAGGAGGGAATGCCCAGATGGAGAGGGATAGAGAAGACGCAGAGCATGTTCCCTGCATCCCCAGCCTGTGCTGTGTGAGGGCAGCCCTGGAAAAGGTGACAGGTTGAAGATGACAGCTCCGTCCTCGTCAACTGTGGCACGGACTGAAGGGATTCAAAGGACAGTGGAGTGGGTTGTGTGTGATCCTGAGAGCCTCTGCAGCAGCAGCAGCTGCTGGTGTTTGTGAGGCCGCGATGGCCGTGGAAGTGTGTGAAGTGCTGGGCTCCCTGGATTAGCAGGCGTGATCAGGGAGCAAGGAGGGAGGAAGGAGGCCGTGCCAGGCAGAGGAAGATGGGGCAGGGTGCTCAGGGTAGATATTTGATGGATATGGTGCCTGAGGCTGACCAACCTCAGAAGTGCCCTTGGCAGAGTGGGGTCTCTCCTCAAGGTAGTACTAGAGGTTGTTCTAAATCTTGTTCTTTTTCTTTTACTCCTCAAATAATGAGGATCAAAGCCAGGCCCTTATGCATGCTAGGCAAGAGCTCTACCACCGAGCCACGCCCCCAGCCCCTCACTGGGGGATTCTAGGCAAGAGCTCTACCACCGAGCCACGCCCCCAGCCCCTCACTGGGGGATTCTAGGCAGGTGCTCTACCACTGAGCCACGCCCCCAGCCCCTCACTGGGGGATTCTAGGCAGGGGCTCTACCACTGAGCCACGCCCCCAGCTCCTCACTGGAGGATTCTAGGCAGGGGCTCTACCACTGAGCCACGCCCCCAGCCCCTCACTGGGGGATTCTAGGCAGGGGCTCTACCACTGAGCCACGCCCCCAGCCCCTCACTGGGGGATTCTAGGCAGGGGCTCTACCACTGAGCCACACCCCCAGCCCCTCACTGGTGGATTCTAGGCAGGGGCTCTACCACTGAGCCATGCCCCCAGCCCCTCCCTGGGGGATTCTAGGCAGGGGCTCTACCAGTGAGCCACGCCCCCAGCCCCTCACTGGGGGATTCTAGGCAGGGCCTCTACCACTGAGCCACGCCCTCAGCCCCTCACTGGGGGATTCTAGGCAGGGCTCTACCACTGAGCCACGCCCCCAGCCCCTCACTGGGGGATTCTAGGCAGAGGCTCTACCTCTGAGCCACGCCCCCAGCCCCTCACTGGGGGATTCTAGGCAGGGCTACCACTGAGCCACACCCCCAGCCCCTTCACTGGGGGATTCTAGGCAGGGGCTCTACCACTGAGCCACGCCCCCAGCCTCTTCACTGGGGGATTCTAGGCAGGGGCTCTACCACTGAACCACTTCCTTAGCCTTCTTTTCTTCTTTTTGATACTTAGTCTCACTTTGAAGCCCAGGCTGGCCACAAATTTAACAATCCTTCTGCCTCAGCCTCCTGAAAAGCTGTAATGACAGGCTTCTAATCCGCACTCTGTGAGTTTTGTGCTTTGGGACACCCTGTAGAAGTTGTTTTAGGTGTTTGACTATGACCAACATATATCTGAGAATTTGAAGACACCTATCTGGTCTCTAAAAGTCATGCTTATTCTGACGGGAGCTGGAAATGCTGAATCCGGGCACCAAGGAGGCCTAGGGGAATGTTCCGCATAGAGAAGGGACAGTTTGGGTTCACGTTTTCATTTCCCAGGTTTCTGGGTAGAGGGGCCACCAGGGAGATGATGAGCTAATCTGGTATTAAGTACACATAATGCCTGACAGGGCTTGGAGCTGGCAAGTTGAAACAGGAAGTGATCCGCAGTTAAAGGGAGGTCCTGGGTCGAAGGCTTCTGAGACAGCTGCCTCTGTGTAGAGGAGTAGAAGTCCGAGGATGAGGGCTTCTGAGGGCAGGGCAAGAAAACCGAGGAATGAGGGA